GTCGCGCGTACAAATGCTAGTTATATTTTATATTAGTGCACGCACATAATTAAGCTAGTAGTTAAAGACTTAAAGTAGTGCAGTTCTTTCAATTCATTGATGGGTTTTATCACAATCATAATTATAGAGCTGTCAAAATATTGTGAATTTGGTTTATGTTTATCTCAAAAAAAAAGAATTAGATGTATTAATTGAAATTTGACAATCGCGGATTAAAAAAAAATGGAAAATTCGAGTTAATTCTAACGGATTAAACAGTCAAAAATAATGTGTGTGGCACGAATTAGATGTATTAATTGAAATTTGACAATCGCGGATTAAAAGAAAATGGAAAATTCGAGTTAATTCTAACGGATTAAACAGTCAAAAACAATGTGTGTGGCTGCTGGGATTCGAGCCCAGGTCTCCACGGCCACAACGTGGAATTCTTACCACTAAACTACAGCCACTTTTGTTTAAGGTTCTAACATTAACATTTATAAACTAAAAAATAGTGCATTGTTTTGGAAATGATTGTATAGCAGGAGACCATGGGCTGGTCTGTTTTACTATTCTGCCTATTACACTTTTGCCCCAAGAGAATGGATAAAGATTTGATGTTATATATTGTTGCCTTGTTGGTATGCAATGTAACCATCTTAAGAGTTTACAATAGCCCAAATACATGGATGGGCCTTTGAGCAGAAAAAAATATTATGGTTCAAGAGATTATCTGCCATGAGTTGCTCATCAGTCCAACTAGTATAGGATAATGCTAGTAGATAACTTCTTGAAATAGGCCAGCCCGGGTTTGTCTAAATTTTATAAGATCTTATATGTATAAGAAAAGGCATAACTTTTACTAATGCTAAACATATATGAAGTTTCGCGAGATCTGATTAACTCATTACGATTAATTTATGAATACCTGACGGAAAATCACATGCATTTTTCATTGTATGTATGTGTACACTATGCTATATGCATGCCACCTAAAGTCATTTAAATGCCATAACTCCTATTTATACACAAAAATAAATATGCAGTGATCATTTTTGTGACATGTTTGACTTGAGTGGGTATATGTAGTTGCTATATATGTACTCTGTATATATGAAGTGCCCTATGCACAAAGCCAAATCATATGATAAGTCTCATGTAGGGAAGGAAAGTGGGTCATCATCGTCCTAACACCTACAACCACCTTCTTTAAAACCACTATTATTATTATTATTAAAATAAAAGTAGGCAAAATTGCCATAATCCTCGCCACACCAAATCACATGCTATATATGTTTGATTCTTCATTAGGCCATTAATAACAAGGTCTAGTTGCTCGATCGGTTGGTGTTAATGGGTTGTCTTAGTTATGTCATGTGCACGGGTGGAAGAATTACGTGATGAAATATAAATGCTATTTTAAAATAAATATGACATAAATTTGGAATGAGATAGGAGTTACTGTTTGGTTCGTAGAGAAAATATTATAGACATGGTTATGGAATAAATGGCCCTCCAAGTGTTTTGTTATAGTTTATATATGTATTTATTTATATAGAATTAGGATCCTATAATAACAATGTTTTGTTAAAAAACGTAGAATAACTTCATCTATTCATTTGGGTTGGTTAAGGGCTAAAAAATAATCTAATTCGTTCATTTGAGTTGATTAAGAGCTAAAAATTACAAAAGTAGAAAAAAATAGGGTGACATTTTCGTAATTTTATGATGTATTGGACAAAGCTTCAGTGTGCGTACAACCAATATTACGAAAAAAATAACAAATAAATTAGATTATTTTACATTTTCTTTTACAAGGATATGCCATTGTATAGAAAATAATGGCTTCATGTGAAATATTAGTGATAACAAGTACTTTTGACAAATGACAAACCAGCCCATTCTTCTCCATCATCTCCTTCCCACCCTCAATAATATATATAAATACATAATAATAGTGGTCCGTATGTAATATATATAAGAAATTCCCATGAACATAATTGAGAGCAAGTGTCGTAGGATGTCGCATAAACTTTAGGAGGTTTACATTTGTGTGGCCAAAATCTCTAAATAATGGTATCAAAAGATTGAAGAAAATGACAAATCGAAGAGATTGCTGGGGAGCACTAATTAAGAAAAATGGATCCATTTACATGTCGCCACGTCCTAAACCATCTCAATATCTATCACCCATCAATTAAGTAGGATAACTACTAATAACTACCAATTAATTAATTAATGATATCAAATACCAGGTAAAATTAAACTTGATAGCTAGAAAACACCAAAATTGTATTTATAATGGAATAATTTCTTAAGGATAGATCAAATAACTTAAATGTGCTACGACCTTGTAGTTAAGCGGCATAACTGTGATTCTTCCAAATAGGAGGTTAGAGGTTCGAACTCTAATGGAGGCATAAATTCTTTGACCTTCAATAGATTGAGAATACCTTATCTTGTGATTACAAGTCGTTTTAAGTTCCTGGTTTGACCCAAAAAGAAAAAAATTAAATTTAGTTTAGTCCATCTTTAAACAATTAGTATTAGTTTATATGTCACTTCTTGTTCTAATTTTTAAAATAAAGGACAACCTAATTAAATGTACTAATTTAAATCGTTTATCAAGTTATCCCTAATCTGTACATGGAACTTAAGGTCGAAGCAACTCTGTTGGATCATTTCATAAACACCCACAATTAGGGGTGCGCAAACTTCGGTTAATTTTCGATTAACCGACTGAACTGATAAAATTCAGTTAACCGTTTTCGAACCGAACTTTTTTGGTTTGATTAATGGTTAAAGGAATTTTAAAACTTCGGTTAACGGTTAATATATATATATATATATATATATATATATATATATATATATATAATATATAAATACTAATTTGAAGTTATGGATGTTTGGAGTTTATAGTTAATGTTTTTGTATATTTTGTTATGAATTTATTATGATATGTATTTTATTTTAATTGAATTTATTATTTTAGGTGTTATTTTTATAATTTAAATTTTAGTTTTAAAAAGTTCGGTTAATCGGTTAACCGAAAAAAATTTCAGTTCGGTGAATTCGGTAGAGCAAACTTCGGTTCGGTTAACGGTTAAAAGAAAAAAAACTTTGGTTAAAACGATTCGGTTAACCGATTGAACACCCCTACTCACAATTTATTTGAGATGCTTTAATTAATTAATTAATTTTTATTCGAGATGCTTTATTTGCTCTATAACTTGACATTAAAACTTGTTATAACAATAATTTCAAAAGATAAGAGCGAAACTACTTTATCACTTGCACCAGTCCAAAATTTGAAGAAGATATTGTAACCTACAGTTGCCGACAATATATGATACTACATCACTACTATGTTAAAGTTGAAACTCAATAAATAATGGTCCAACACATATCTTTTTCAGTGGATATGATCATGAGTAAATAAAGTTGAGATTAATAAGACTATCTTCACTCATATAATCTTCTCTCACTTTTAAAATGTCATATTATTAAATATGTAATTATTCACTATTTACTATCCATTCATGTAATTTTCTATCTTCTTTTAAAAATGGTCTCACAATCACATCACCTAAAAAAATATTTCTTTTAATAATAATAATTAAAAAACAAAAAGGCCCCTGCAACTCTGTTACAATCCTGACATCAGAATTGCACCTGACATCAGAATTGCAACATATGCAATTTCCTACGGAAAATATTTGGTGTATTCTCATTTTATACTCCCAACTTGTACTCTCTCTCACATGTTTTTGATGTAGACACTTTTCTGTGGAAACACATGTTGAAAATAACCAATCCTAGTTTGTCACCTCAAGGAGTACAAATGAAGGAGTAGAATTTGGGAATCTATGTAGTAGAACTTGGCCATTATTATTATTATTATTATTTTTAAAAAAAAGAAGAAAAGGAAAGAGTCCAGGCTTTGTAATTGGCTGCTTTGCAGCGCTGCGAATAGCCTTACTGTCCTATCTATATTCATTTTTATTTATTTATTTTGATTTTCCCAAATTTAGAAATTAAAGTTAATTGTCGAAGACGAGAGCTAACCTCAATAACAAGAGTACGAGTAAGCCTATTTTTTGGTGTAAATTATGAGGTGGTCGGGGTGTTTCTTTCTTGAATTCAGATTATGTCAGAATTCTCCCCACAAATCTCATTTGTCATTTAAGCTACCCTCTTTGAATTGAGTAAGCCTATTATGTTATCTTTTAAATCTACACATATTTTTGTATGCAATGATGTATTTGAATTGGTTTGTAACCATGGTTGCAAAAATCGATCTAGGCGCTAAGCACCTCTAGACTGTGGCAACTTCCTCCTTAGGCGCCTCTAGACTGTGGCGATTTCTCTCTTAGGCGCCTGCCTAGGCGACCGGTCGACTTGCCTTGTTAATTTTTTTTTTGCAATATATATATATATATATATATATATATATATATATATATATATATATATATATATACACGTGCACATACATATATACGTGCAGTTTTTTTTTTTATTTTTTTATTTTTATTTTAGTTAACCGCATAGGCGCTCGCCTAGGCTGTCTAGGCGCTAGGCCCTATTCTATTCCCGACCAACGCCTAGCGCCTATTGCAACCATGTTTGTAACCCGTCATCATCATCATGCCTTCTATTTTATGTTTTTTAATGGTTGGTTGAGAGAGGCTAGCTAGATGCTATGAACTTGTCTAAAACTGTATTTGTATCCTTCTGGGCACTAAGAATCGAACCTCACCATATCGTTTGAACCAAGTTTTAAGTGAGACTTCTCATCTACTTTCAGGAGCATTATTGCTAGATTCTTTGTGTATATGGATTTCAATAGTGCATGAGACACCATTGAATTTGACAGGTGCAAAATATATCTTCAATCATGCATCTAGCATCATATTCGATGCGCAAAAGTTTATTGGTTTACATGAATCATATATATTGTGTAGTTCCATTTTATTTTTTCCTTCATTTGATGTATACATTTTTGAAGTTGAAGACCATTGTATAATAAACTTTATATTAGTATTATTATAATCCACATACACTAGAGAATAATAAAACATCTCAATAGACACGACTAGAGCAAGTAGCTTAGCTAGGTACAAAGAAACCCTCCTCGCACCTCAACATGCATAAGCCCAAACCCATTATTCACACACGTACAAGCTAAGGATTATTTAATTTAGTTGGATCGTCTTTTATAATAAAAACACATATATACGGAGTAGTAATTAAAAGAAGTGATGCTTCTTCTTTCCCTCACCCTCTGCTTCTTCTTCCTCCTCCTTAGTTTCCTTCTTCTCATGATGCTCATGGAATGCAAATGCACCTGATCCAACGGCAGCCGCTGCCGCCACCTCTTCTGCTATCTTATGCTTGTGCGCATTCTCTGGGTCTTTCTTTGCCTCGTGCTTCTCGTACTGCATCCATCCATCCAATAACAACCAAAACCATTATATTACTAAGTGGAATATGTGACTAACAAAATGATACATACATACATACATATGATGATCTAAACAAGTTCTGATACCATGTTATAATCTACCATTGCACCAAAGTCACTTAATTGGGTTATCATGCTCATAACTACATGAGTCAAATCACACTAAAAGCTGAAATCAATCAATTAGCTAGTCGTTCTATATATATGTTTCTCTTAATTTTGAAGGTGGGATCTTAACAAGATGAAATGATGATGAGGTGGAAAAAGAAAAAGAAATTACCAAGGCATAGGCACCGGCGGCGACGGTGCCAAGGCCGCCGAGCTGCTCGAGATGCTTGTGGTGTTTTTTCTCTTTTTCGTAATCCTCATGAGTTCTCCCTTCCGGTTCTATGCCGGCGGTCACGCCTTCACTCCCATACTTGTCGGTTTGGCCGTAAGAGTCATCTCCATAAGTGTTTTTCTTCTCATAAGAGTCATCTCCATAAGTGTTTTTCTTCTCATAAGAAGAGTCATCTCCATAAGTGTTTTTCTTCTCATAAGAGTCATCACCATAGTTGTTTTTCCTCTCATAAGAAGAGTCATCTCCGTAGGTGTTTTTCTTCTCATAAGAAGAGTCATCACCATAGGCGTTTTTCCTCTCATAAGAAGAGTCATCACCATAGGTGTTTTTCCTCTCATTAGAGTCTTCCCCATAAGTGTTTTCACCATAGGAAGGCTGCCTCTCTTCCTCATCGTCTTTGTGGTGACCAAAGTGGTGGTGGTGCTTCACCTCAGACATGATTTTAGTTGTTTTGAGATGGTTTCTGGTAGTGGACGAAAGATGATTAATATAATGCTAAAATATGTTTCTTGGCTGATGTTTGTTTGAGTTTCAAATGCTCCTATTTATAAGTGATGCCCTCAAGCCACTCCAGTCTCCAGAGTGTCGTCAAGATTAATGCAACACTCTAAACTCATATTAATTAACACTGTGTTTAAGTTTAACTAATATTCTTTCAAAAAAAAAAGTTTAACTAATATTAAGGTATAAATTTTTTGCGAACAGATATATATATATATATATATATATATATATATATATATATATATATATATAATTACATTTTCATCTGATATGCCAAGCCAGTGTACATTTTATATTTTTTGAAAAATGAAAATGGTCAAGATTCCAAGTTATACGGAGTATATTCTTTGCCGACATAACAATTTATTTAAAGTTACTTAAATTGTGTCTGCCGAGGATAATCAACTTTAATTAATTTAAATACATATATACATAATTTTCAAAAAAAAAAAAAAATACATATATACATAATATACACGGAGGAGCTGTTTTTAAACGTCGTCCAAATCTGGAACTTTCGTAGGGTTGGGTCCCGATTGGTGAGTTTGTAATCTCCACTGACCATTATATTTCGAATTTTTGTATAGATTTATCAATTTCAGCCACGCGTCAGTTGTCGTGTTCCCATGATTATCAATGTCTTATTATTATTCTTAATTCAATTTATTGTCACTGTGAAAGTTTATCCCATGAAAAATCCTTATTATTAATTTGTTAGCCTAGTTCACTACTTCGATCACTTGTTGTACTGCTCTATTTTTACCGGCCTAGGTATAAGATTATTCTTTTGAAAAAAATATATTCGTACAACGCAAATGAAATTAGTGTCTATTTCATGCTATCTTCATATTTCAAATAAATAATAATTTCATTTTACATAGGTCATGGAATAACTAACTAGCTAGTATATACGTAATATGAATTTCATTTTCTAGTTTAGTTAATATATATTTAGTCTGTTCATTTATGAAAATTGAAAAATTTGTAGTTATAAAAATCTCTCTCTCTATCTCTATATATATAGGGAAATGTGCAGGTGTGGGTATAGCTTCCCGTGCGGTTAACTAAAAAAGACGCACCTTAAGAACACAAACCACGCACCTAAAGTTTTAAAATGACGCACCTTAAGCATAAAAATCACGCAACTTAAAAAGGAAAACAACGCACCTTAAGAATGAAAACACGCACCTAAAGCTTTAAGCCGACGCACCTTAAATACACAAATAACGCACCTTAAGCACACAAACAAAGCACTTTAAGAACAAAAACCACGCACCTAAAGTTTTAAAATGACGCATCTTATGTTTCAACAATTGACGCACCTTAAACATACAAATCACACACCTTAAGAAGGAAAACCACGCACCTTAAGTTTCAACACTGACGCACCTTAAGCACACAAACCACGCATCATAAGAAGGAAAACCATGCACATTAATCACATAGCACAAAAACAACTCACCTTAAACACACAAAAAATCACGCACTTTAAGAAGGAAAACCACGCACCTTAAATTTGACCCAGATACAAAAATTACCAAATTGCCACCACTTTTTTTTCTTTTTTAAAATTTTGTTAATCCTGAACGTTGATTTAGACAAAATCAATGGCTCAGATTTAATCACACAATCGCACGGGAACTGAATTTTTATTATTATTATTATTATTATTGTTATTATTATTATTATTATTAATGATTGAATTGATTGAATTCGTAATTAAGTTATTTAAGTATATGCAGACCATATATGAACATCCAACGTAGTTAGGGTGGTTAGGGTAGGTAATATTTGTAAAGAACATGTCCCACCAACTTGGTACCATTATTAAGCGTTCCCTGGTTTTCTCTTCGCATGCAACGCCGCCTCTATGGCTCTATCGATTTCCTTGAAATGGGGACTCTTCGTAACGATACGTTTAATTTGTTAGTAATAAGTTGAAAAGAGATGAAAGAGTTGATGAAAGACGATTCTCATATTTAAAAATTACAAATTTAATTCTTATTAATATTTAATTAAATTCAGCCTTTTGTATATATATACCATTAGATAGTGTTTACGAGTTTTCCATTGTCATTCAAAATTAATAATAAAATATCAAATCTTTCTCTAAGAAGATAGAATAGTGAAATCAATCCCTATATTACTAAAAAACCTTCCGTGGTGATATTTTAAACTAGTAAAATATCATGAAAAAATCTACAATAATGTTGACGACCAAGAATAGAAAGATGTTGTGACATATTTATAAATAGTGAAAGTAATAAAACTATTATTTTAATACCACCATCCAAAAATATATTATAGGTTGTATTCTTACTATATTCAATAGGTTGTGTAAAATTTTCCTAAATATTATTTACTTTAATTTTGTCACCACACAATGTTGGAAATTATGAAATTTTCAACCACCTGAAAGTGATCTTAAATCAAGTCGAAAGCCTTGTTCCAACCACTTTTGGTATCCGGAAAAATCTTTGTTGCTTTCAAGTGGTCGAAAATTCAATAATTTACAGCAGTGACATACTAGTGTAAGTTTATTAAGTCATCACTATATAATATATATTATAAGTCATCACACAATTATTTAAAATATATATATATATATATATATATATATATATATATATATATAATATTCAAATTTAAGTAGTCGAAAAATTGAAGATTTCCAGTAGTGTATATAAGTGTCAGCTAAAAAAATTTAATAATAAATTTTCAATAATATATATTTTATAAATTAATTTTGTTTATAAAAAAAAGAATAATATATTTAAATGGTATTTGGATGGCCAATTGGTGTCGTTTTAATGAATATGTAACATTGTTATAATAAACATGCATTCATATTTGATACATCTAAATTTTTAATGAACCTACAATAGTATTATAATGAGCATAAGTCCATGATAAAATATGAACAGTGGTCTATGATATAATTTGTCAGGTTTTATTATCACAATATTTGTACAGTTACAATAAACTATAATGAACATTCCAAATGCTATAAATTAATGATTTTACATTTTGTTTCACTCAATCACATTTACCAAAACATATATTCTCTTCACCAAAATGTTTTACAACATGGGTTCTACACTAGTTAAAAAATATTTTAGTCAATAAGGAGAACACCCCTATGCATTTCTACCGTCTAAAATGTCTAACCATTCACATATGAAGATTAAACCATGATAAGTATGGTAGATAATGAGGTCAGTTGTGTGATAACTCACATATAACATATTCGCCCAACTCGTTATTGTCTAATAATTTACAAATTAGAATTACATTGTATGTTCAAATGTCATATTATCAAATATGTGGATTTATTGTGTTTTATGAGCTTGTCTTTTAGTTGGGTGAGGCATTGACTAGTGGGGTGAAAAATGAGGTCCATTGCAATATAATACACATGCACTTTAATTTCGGGTTGTGTTGTATCGTGTTGTGACCCTATAGTAATAAACATGCAATTAATTATATATATGAACTTGTAATAGTAACTTAATAAACATATGGTTGTAAGTTAATGAATTTGTACTAATGACTTAATGTTATTGTAGGTTTATTAAAGATTGGGAAAAAAATCAATATATATGTTATTTAAAAGATCTCTATTAGAACTTTTTAATGATATATTTCTTATACATTAATTTTATTTGTAAAAAAAAAAAAAGGCAAAAGCAAATTTAAGAAAAAATTTATTAATTTATTAAAATAAAAATTCTAAATAAATTAAAAAATCTCTCAACCAATCAATACTCATTATTGTGAAAACCACCCATTAATACTGTATATTTTTTGGGTAACAATTAAATGTTTTTGTTACCCTCCAGAGTTATATTAAAATTAGACTTCAAAATTCACAACTCATTAAATGAGTATCCTACTATTTTTGAATTCAGAACCATACCGAATTGGTAGGGCAAAATAAAGCTCCGCATTATTTCCCTGTGAAGTCAGGAACGTTAGAGTTGTTCAGTTGGATGGGTAGAAAACTTAAATGTGAAAACAAAATGTACAGTATTAGCACTTAACTCCTCTACGTCGTCCTAATAAAGAGACTTATCTGGACAGCTTAATTGATTGTAAGAATAAAATTTGTCATAATAGACTAAAGATCAAGTTAAATTTAACATCTGTTGGTCAATTGAATCATCATGATTTATTTCATCATAAACTGTCGGACAGAGGTGTGGTGCGTTTGAGATAGAGGATTCCAATTTTTGTTACATTAAAGAGACGTACGTTACGTTAGAAAGTTGGGGACGAAATATAATGAATGGGCGGACGGTGGTGAGTGGTGCCGGGTGCCGACCTCCACCTGGACCCACGCCTTTAATATAACGCTTCCAATTAACTTCCACGTATAATACCTTTCTTCGTTTTTGGCCTCTCTCTCTATCCAGTGTCGGCAAATTAATCCCAACCAAAAAAAAAGAAAAAAGTATATGAATCCATATATATCAATTCACGAGTGGAAAGTCTTTATCTTTGAAAAATCCTCTTTACTAGCTTTGATATAATAGTGGATAAGGTTTGTGGATTTGGTTTAATTTCCCTCTCAGCCAATTGGTTCTGACCTGGGGGAGCTATTATCTGCGACGTTTAATTAGCAAATATCGTCTCTGCTGGAGCGTTTGGTGACCATTCAAATTCACTGATTTCATATGAGATATTTATGACCACCATCACATCTTCATTACGTGGCCTAATTACTTATCATTAACAGACCACTAATCAATGTCCATTAGCCACTTGTAAGTTGTAAGGCCTACAAAATTTTAAAGATTTCTTAGGTACGTTATTTTAGTTATAAGTCAATTTATAGATATGTTCATATATATAGGACACGAATAAATCTTCATGCATTAATTAAGTCTGTATTTTTATAGTATGAATTAGACTGTATTATATTTCAGAAGGGTATATATAATTATTATATTTTAGAACTCCATTATACAACATAAGGGTTCTAAGTTTGACTTCTTGTGAGAGCTGTTTAAATATGGAGTATTAGTCTTC